TTTTTTGCAGACAAGGTCACTATATACTTCAGGCTGACCCTGCACTCACTATGTTGCCCAGGCTGGCCTCATTCACAGAAATCCTCCTGCCTCAGCCTCCTGAGTGCTGGGATTACAGGGATTCACTACCACTCCCAGCCTTCCAGCCCTTTCATAAGTAACAGATGAAGGAAAAGTTCCCACCAACAAGAAGCTAAGTGACAAATCAAGGGATTAGTTAGATCCAGAAGCAGAAGAGAAGGAACTATAGAGTCTGGGAAAGTGAGTATCCAGAAACTCCTCTGATTTTTTTTTTTTTTTTTTTTTTTGGTACCGGAGATTGAACTCCGGTCCTTGTGCTTGCAAAGCAGGCGGCGAAACCACTGAGCTAAGTCCCTGGCCCCAACTCCTCTGATTTTTTAACCCACAGGTCTTGCTAGTAAGCAACCTCTGTACAAACCTGCAAACCCACAGGACTTTTTGTTGTTGGGTTTGGTTTTTTGGAGACAGTGTCTCATGTAGCTATACATTGATTTGTTGAATATTTTCTTCATTGCTTAACCAGTGATGGCCTTTACATTGTGAAACTCAAAACTGAAATGGTCTCTATGTCCAAAGAGCACTAAAAATTCATTAACTCACAAAATGATACCAAATAACTATTTTACAATCTTTCCAGTACCATCTGTACTAAGTGGCTGTGAGAGATGATAGCAGGTTAAAAACAGGCAGATATCAGGGCCTGGGATTTAGCTCAGTGGTGCCACCTGCTTTGCAAGCACGAAGTCCTGAGTTCGATCCCCACTACCAAAAAAAAACAGGCAGATCATAGTTTAACACTTAAAGGATGTCTGACAGGTGATTATTTTAGTGCCAGGAAGTGGATCAGGATGAAAGAGGGTGTTGAACAGGGTAGTATACCTAGAGGCACAGAATGAGATATTGTCCAGGGATTCTGCCAAAGTATTAGTTGACAGGTTAACTCAATAAGGTTTTCTACAATGCATTAAAGAACATTTCCCCCCATTTTCTGGGAATTGAAGGGACTTCAAACAGGCACTGTTGAGAGTGAGGATGGCAAAGCATTCTTTCATTCTTTATGTGACACTGCCAGCAGAGTTTGTCAAGGTCATACAATTTAAATCCACATAAAAGTAAATATAAGCAAGAACTCTTCTGGCAAAGATTTCTCAAAAGTCACACTGGGCTGGAGATGTAGCTCAGTGGCACCACACCTGCCTTGCAAGTGTAAGGTCCTGAGTTCGATCCCTGGTACCAAAAAAAAGATCACACTAAAATGACATGAGATTTTACATCAGTAAATTTGGGTTTCACCCCTATAGCATCAAGTTATGCAATTCACTTAACCATACTGAGTTTGAATTTCTTCATTAAGAACAAAATGGGATGGGCTGGGGATTTAGCTCAATGGTTCCACCGCCTGCCTCGCAAGCACAAGGACCCGAGTTCTATCCCCGTTCTATACCCGGTACCAAAAAAATAAATAAACACACACAAAAAAAATCAAAATTAAAACAACAACAACAAAAAGAACAAAATGGGATGGGCCAGGGATTTAGCTCTGTGGAGCCACCATCTGCCTCGAAAGCACAAGGTCCCAAGTTCGATCACCGGTACCAAAAAAAAAGAACAAAGTGAATCTAGCCAGGCCTGGTGGTATGCATCTATAATCCCAGTACTCGGAGGCTAAAGCAGGAGCACTGCTTTGAGTTCGAGGCCCACTTGACATACATAGCAAGACTGTCTCAAAAAAATTATACAATTGGTGTGGCTTTGCATTTGGAAGCACTCTAAGCCAAAGTGCCACTAAAAATGCTAGCCTGTTATTGAATTCAGCACTTCATCCCAGTAGAGTGAAGAATCTCATCTTTGAACCCACTTTCAGACGAGATTGGGCACCTTTAGGGTGGTATGGGTAGACTGAACCAACTTTCAATAGAGATTTCTGGGAAAAGTTTCCAGTCGCCTGCCTTTTGGGCTCTCTGAGCATCCCTAGCTCAATAAAATGTTTCTTTTCTCTGACTGCTTGGAGAACTTTGTTCTTCTGTTGTGTTTCTGGAATCTTAACAATTATATGCCTATGGGTAGATTTTTTTTGATCAAGGCTATTTGTAGTCCTATATGCCTCACTTATCTGTATGTCAAGCTCTTTTCCCCTGCTTGGGAAGTTTTCTGCCATTATTTCTGTGAAGAGATTTTTTATGTCATCTGCACTCCTGTTTCTTCATTGAGCACAATCAGTCTTATGTTATCCTTTTTTGCATCATCTAGCAGCTGCTGGATTGATTTCTCATGTTCCCTTATAATTTTGAAGCAATTTTTCTTTTCCTGGTCACTAATTGCAATCTTATCTTCTATATCTGAAATTCTGTCCTCACACTGGCTCATTCTGCTGTGTAGACTTTCAATGGAGTTTTTCATGTCCTGGAAATCTATTTGCATCTGTTTTATGGATTCCATTTGTTTCTTATGTTGGGATTCCATCATGTTCCTGTAGCTCAATAAAATGTGTTGAACAATCCCTGACCTGAAATTATATTACAAAGCTGCTATGATAAAAACAGCATGGTACAGGCAAAAGAACAGACCCTAGGATCAATAGAAGAGACTAGAAGATGCAGAAACAACTCCACACACACTCAGCCACCTTATCTTTGACAAAGGAACCAAACACCTTCACTAGAAGAAAGATAAGATAGAAAGATAGATAAATGGTGCTAGCAAAACTGGCTTTCCACATGCCGAAGATTGAAACTAGACCCATGTCTTCCACCACAAAATAACCTAAAATCGAAATGGGTCAAAGATTTAAATAATAAAACAGAAACATTAAATCTGCTGGAAGAGAGACTAGGTAGAACGCTTGAAGACATAGGAGTAGGCAAAGACTTCATGAACAAAACCCAGACCACACAGGAAATACTACAAAGTATCAACAACTAGGACCTCACCTTATTAAAAAGCTTATTAAAAAGCTTTTGCACAGCAAGAGAAACCACAACAGAATGAAGAGACAACCTATAGAGAAAAAAATTTTACCAGCTACTCAGATAAAGGACTATTATCTAGAATATATAAAGAACTCAGAAAAATCAGATCCCTCAAATCTAAAGACCCATTACAAAAATGGGCATCTGAAATAAAAAGATACTTCTCTGATGAATTAGAAATAGCAAATAAACATATGAAAAAATTTCAACATCATTGGTCATTTGAGAGCTGCAAATTAAAACAACAATGAGATTCCTCTTCACTCCAGAAAGAATGGCTGCTATCAAGAAATCAATAGCAAATGCTGGAAGGTCTGTGGGAAATAAGGAACCTTTCTCCACTGCTGGTGGGAGTGTAGACTGGTACAACCACTGTGGAAATCAGTGTGGAGATTTCTCAAAAACTAAAACTAGAAGGGCCAGGGATTTAACCACCTGCTGTGCAAGGGCAAGGACCCAAGTTCAATCCCTGGTACCAAAAAACAACAACAAAAAAACCAATGAACTGTATAAAAAATAAATAAATAAATAATTTTTTAAAAACCACCTAAAACTAGAGGTTCCATTTGACCTAGCTATCCCTCTTCTTGGTATCTTCCTTAAATTAGAAGCAAAATACCACAGTGATATATGCACACCCATGTTTATAGCAACACAGTTTGTAATAGCTAAACCTTGGAAACAAATGCTTATCAACTGAATAGTGGATAAAGAAGTCATGGGTGTTTTTGTTTTCTTTTCCTTTCTTGGTACTGGGGATCCAACTCAGGACCTTACACTTATGAGGCAGGTGTGGTGCCACTAAGCTAAATCCCCGGTCCTAGACGTGGGGGGTTTTTTGTAATGGAGTACTACTCTGCCATAAAGAAGGATGGGCTTCAGACATTATAGCTAAATGGATGGACCCTGAGACCATACTCTTAAGTGAAATTGTTGCAGAAATCTCGGAAAGAAATACACAGAGACACAGAATTCGGATAAAATAATAAAATTTCTTCTCGAGAGCAGGCGGTAACTCCAGAAACCAGTCTAGTCAGTATCCAGCCCCCTTTGTTCAGCATTTCCCTTTTTATATCCTTTTTAGCCATTATCTCACCCCTAGTGGTCTTTGATATGTAAATACAATTCCAGTTCCTATTTACAAGTCACAGACACAAGATAGGCCATATACATTGTAAATTCACCCTGGCATGGTAACTTTGTTAGGTTAATAAGGTTACTGTTTAGAGTCAGATAATCCTCATCTTAAACAAGGAGTTAAGGGAAAAGCAAATCTTAACACATTACTTATTTTGCTTCTACAACCACCTTAATATTCAATCTATTAAGTTATCTAAAACTTTTCCGTATCAAAATAAATGGGCCATACATGTTTAAATACCACATTATTTCTCTGCTGTGGGAAACTGAATGTGGAAATAACTGAAATGTATAATGGATGTTGGGAAATGGGAAGAAAGTGTTTAAATGGGAAGGGGAACAAAGGATGAGAAAGGGAGAAAGGAAGAAAGGGATAAGAAAAAAAGTGAAATAGAGGGAAAAAATGGAAAGAAAGCTTTTGTACAGAGGGAGTGGAGGAGGCTTGGGGGAGGATCAAATAATTGGGGGGGGGGTTACCGGGGATCGAACTGAAGACCTTGTGTTTGCGAGGCAGGCGCCGGAACCACTGAGCTAAATCCCTGGCCCTAAAATAATTTATTTTTAAAAATCAAAAAAATTAATGTGTTGACAGCACAGAAACCAGGATGTGCCCAGCAGAGTTTAGGAGAATCCAGATTGAATAGAAAAGGCCAATCTGGAAAATATGGTGAACAAAGAAGGCTGTGCAGTGGCCCACATGAAATCTTGGCCAGAAAACAGACCCGTGCCTCCCCTTACACTCCCCGAGCCCTTCCCATGAGGAGTGCGGCTCAAAACACTTAGAAAGCTTTCTGCTTCCTAAAGAGGCCACGCTGGGTGAAGCATTAGGAAGCACCAGGCGCTGGCTGTCCAGAGCTTCCTCTCCTGTACCTTAAAGTCAGTTGGGGCCTCCGACTACGGTCCCTCCAGGTGAATGAGGCACTAAGGCATGGCTCCGACCTCCCAGGTAGCGACGAGATGACATTCTCCATCCATTCCTTTATGCTGGGCCCTGTTTCCATGGGAGGGCTCGGTCGTGTGTGCAGAGCTAGGCTCCCAACCCAGCAAGGTTTTGTCCCTGCTGGTGGGAACCACCACAGACGGCAACACCACCATCCTAACGTCACTTCGCATGCGTAGTAAAGATGCAAGCAGTACTGCGCCTGCGCAAGGCGTGCCCGCGAATTTTAAAGCACTCAGGTCCAAGGGAGGGGAGCTGGTTGAAGACGGGGGAAAAAGCCAACCCAAAGACCACTTCTCCGCCCTACCCTATGGCAGGTTTCTGGGTCTGTTCTTTTACTCCAACCACAAAGATCCAATGTCCCAGAGTTAAGTGCTTTTGTATTTAAGTGTATTTTTATAGTCCTAAGGGTGGGCGTCATATGAGGGAGAATATGGCATCTTTATAACTGCTGGTTTCATTTTCCTTCTGGAGGAAATAAAGTACTAGGTAATTAGCCATACCTACTGAGGTTGTGGGAAATGATCTCTAATAGATGGATTCCTTTGCTTTAAGAGTGTGTTCAAGCCGGGTGTGGTGGTTTATACCTGTAATCCCAGCCCTCTTGGGGCTCTGCTCACTAACTTGGTCCTGTGTTCCTCTCAGCAACTCTTCTTGATCCGGACACAGTCTTGTTTACGCAGCTGATAACTGAGAGAAGGTTGGAGCTCAGCATGTCTGAAAGAGAGTAGAAGAGAACACCCATAAGGGGCCAGGGATTTAGCTCAGTGGTTTTGCCGCCTGCTGCTCAAGTGCAAGGACCCGAGTTCGATCTCCGGTACAAAAAAAAAAGAGAGAGAGAACACCCATGAGAGAACAGAGGTGACCCCAAAGATGGAGGCCAACGAAGGCCCTTCCAGCACAGGACCCCACCCAGGGCCTGAGCTCTTCCAGGTTTCAGATTATACAAGGCTCCCTTCCTGGGGTGCAGTGAGACATCCTACAATGGCTGCTAGTGATCAGGGATGCCAGGACTGAGATTTGTGGCAACCAACAAATCACCTCTATGGGACCCCAGTGGCCCAAAAGGAATAGTTTGGAAATCATCCCAGTAGCAAAAATTCCTGAAAATGGAATTGCAGGAACAAAGGACTTGAACCTCTTAAAAGATTCTTTACATGGCAGCTGGGTCCCAAAGATGAGTATTCTTTTTTTTTAGAAATTTTATTTTATCCCATTTCCCCTCAAGCCCCCTCCCCTCCCTATGTACAAAAGCTTTCTTTCCATTTTCCCTTTCTATTTTCATTTTTTTTCTTGTCCCTTCCTTCCTCCCTCCCTCGTCCCTTGTTCCCCTTCCCATTTGAACACTTTCTTCCCATTTCCCAACATCCATTATACATTTCAGTCCTTATTTCCACTTTTGGTTTCTCACACCAGAGAAACAATGTGGTATTTAAACATGTGTGTCTGATTTATTTCACTTAAGAGTATGGTCCATTCATTTAGCTATAATGTCTGAAGCTCATCCTTCTTTATGGCAGAGTAGTACTCCATTGTATAAAAACCCACATCTTCTTTATCCAGTCATCAGTTGATGGGCATTTGGGCTGTTTCCAAGATTTAGCTATTACAAACTGTGCTGCTATAAACATGGGTATGCATATATCACTGTGGTACAATGCTTTTAATTCTTTCGGAAAGACACCAAGAAGAGGTATAGCTGGATCAAATGGAACCTCTAGTTTTAGTTTTTTGAGAAGTCTCCACACTGTTTTCCACAATGGTTGCAACAGTCTGCACTCCCACCAATAGTGGAGAAGGGTTCTTTTATCCCCACAGTCCCTCAAACATTTGTTATGGTTGATTTCAAAGATGAATGTTCTAAGAGGGCCAATCCTGATTGGGCAAGCATTTATCAAACCTCTGTTCTTGGGCACGAGCCATGATATGCATAGATTGGTGAAGGGCCATATTACAGACCCCACAGGCCCAAGACCTTAATTTTTCCCTTTGAGATGCTAAACTTGGTCCCTATCTTGTTAATCTAATCACTACAGTCACTTTTCCTGGGATAGCATACTACACCCTCCCCTGCACTTCTTGGTGAATAATAAAATCAGGCACATTGTGGAGTTTGGGGAAGCTTGTCCACTAGAGACAGTTTCCTCCTGGTCCTGCATTGAAAATTGTATACTTTGTCTGTCTCTTTATTCCCTGTTGTTCTCCCTACCGATATTCAGGAGTCTAAAAAGCTCCTCATACTCTGTTTGCATTTCCTTGACCTCACTGGGCCAAACTGAGTCAGTGCAGGAGAGATAGCAAAATAATGTCAATTCCTGGAGTCTTAGTTCTTCAGTGGTCACCTAACAGTCTTACAGGTCACATGCCCATTCCTGGGGCAGTCATCAAGGTAAGGAGGAAGAGATACTGAAACTGCCTCTGCCACAATCTTATGTCCCCTTATATCTGGGGGAGGGGGACCACGATTGACAGTTGCCACGTACTTGGCTGGAATGGGGAAAAACAGTTCCTCAAAAGAAAGCAGATGGGTGGGCTGTGGATGTAGCTCACCCTACATCCTGTGCCTGCCTAGCAAGCAGGCTAGTTAGATTCCTGGTACCAAAAAAGAAAATAGACACACAAAAAAGAAAGCAGATGGTGTTTAGCCAGAAAGGCCCACTTCCTCCAGGGCAAGATGTGTCTAGAAGCCTGAAGAGAACCTAGCTCAACCTGAGCCAGCCCCACTTCATGCCTGCCACATGCTCACCTTGTGGGACCTGCAGTGAGGGTTAGTCCTCAGGAACCCCTGATCTACTGCATGTGATGTCACTTCCAGCCTTCACAGACCCTGACGAAGGTGACAGGAGTCAGCATAACACATCCTGACCTTCACCTGAATGGTGCTGATTGGCACCCTTTCACCTTGCAGAATCTGAACTGAGAGCCAGGTGTGCAGGTGCACACCAGTAATCCCAGCATGTGAGAGGATAAAGCCGGGGGG